TAGCTTAATTGCGAAGTCAGTTAGGCCATCGGCTGATCCTTCAACAGATTTATGGTTGAGTAATTCAGTAATCAGATTACGAATAGATCATACAAAATTTGTTTAAATCTATCGTAATCTAAACGACTGGGCAAGGAAATACAAGCTTCAATAGCCGTTCCGGCCTTTCCTTTACAATAGTATGACAAATATGACAACAGCTGGCACTTGTCAAACAGTTTACTCTTGATCATGCTTGTAAACTGACTAATAAAACGGTGGTACTGGCTTGGTTGTCCATCAAAAAACATCATATCAATCTTAGGCAAAACCGTATTATTAACCGTAATACGTAACGTATTTTTTAATTCATCAATCCAATCGCATTTTGAGGTGTTAAATACCTCCAGGGAATGCTTATTACACGCAATGTCACAATCCAAGTACCTTTCCACCTTAACATTTATTCAAACTTGTCTACTGGCAGTCGATTATCGTTTTCTATAACCTTACGTTCTAATTCGGCCATGTCAACCTCCTCTTGAAGATCTAACATTTTAAGCTGCCCTTCTAACTCAAGTCTATTTTCCAAATTTTTCCTCTTTAGTAATGCCTTATCTAACCTGATTCTAGAAGTGCTGAACTGAGCTGAGGACATACTGTTAACACTAATATCATCACGTTTATCATCATTAAAATCAGACATATCACAGATAGCTTTAGAAATTTTACCATCGATTTCGTCATTTTCCTTCGGTTTTTTGCTTCTCGTTTCCATCGTATGTCTTTGTTCAAAAGAATCGGTTACCAGAACAAATGTGAATTAATGCAAACGAATTCTACCAATATGACCAGAAATTGGACTCAAAATGTCCAGACGAATCCAATGTATAACAACAGAACTAAAATTGTAGAACCTTTGTTACGTTCACGTTTTTGCTCCTTCCCGTTATTGAAGTACGGTGTGTCGATCTATTTGCAATTTACGAACCCAAATTAACAACAGAATCAAACTCCAAATTAGGTACCAAAGTTTATTCGCAATTCACAAATAGTCGACCAAAATTTCGCTCTAACAACAATAATTATAACAACTACAAAACAAACCTTCAATTTTATAGGTTCCCGGAGCAAAAAACTCCCAATTACCAAACCAAAGACAAACAGAAACCAAAATGTCCGAAATAATGATATAAACAAACAAGTTCAGAGGTTAAGTAAAACAAATACATCCAAAAAACACAGTGAAATTAATGATATTTAATATAGACGTTTTAATCAACCAAATGTTTTCAGTTCTCCCGTAACAATACAAGAGATTGTCTTAATTACGAACTTAAGAGGTTTAAATGGAAAAGTGAGTGTCAGATCGAAAAGAAAGGAATAACTTGCGACGAATGATCAACCATGATATCAGGAGTATAATGAATATCAATCAACTAAGTAAGGCATTGATTATTATATTTTTAGTACCTTCGAGCAAACATGCAAATTTAAGTATTAGGATTTAGAATAAAACTTGCTATTAGTATAGATGTTTATTCAGTAATAGTTTAGAATGATTATATAGAAGTTTCAATTTATTGCAATGGATAATCAAATTTCAAATTTTGTGATCCATATATATACTTGAAGATGAGATGAATTTGAAAGGCTAGTTTATTTAAGTGTAACAAAAGAGAATGTGTTTATCATGATAAACTTTAGATGTTGAGAAGGAAAAGAGAATATGAAGAAAAAGAAGGGATGGATAGATTTGTAATATATCGAGGGGCCAATCATGATAATGATAACAATAACAAATATAGGTAGACTTCAGTTATTCAGATGAATAGAAAAAAGTAAAATAAAATAAACATGAAAGGTTCCAAAAGTTATACTCTGCTTTTCAGTCAATTAGATAGATGACGGACCTTGCCTGTATATATCATTGCTAAACACATTGATGCTCAATAGGTGACATAATCCACTTTCGGAAAGAAAATCCCCAAGGAAACTTCTGAACAGGATTGTAGTTTCGCTGTGACGGAGGCTCACTAACAGTTTGTTCCACATGGTTTAGTAGCAAATAACGATAAAATTCTGGCTTAAGTTTATATAGGTTTTCAGAATCGACAAAATATTCCCTTTATTGAGCGAATTGTGGGATGATATTATAGAGTACGAAACGACAAATGCCAGAGTAAGAAATACCACTTGTAGGTCAGTAGATAAAGACGAGGTTTTAACGTGAATCGTTAACATCTTTGGCAACAACGTAGAATTTCGGTCTACAATGATACTAGTACTGCTCTAATAATAGACCTAATCCTAAAATTGTAAATTTATCATGATATAACTGCCTATTCCATAAGATCTTACGTGGAAATCACATCATAGTCTACACTAACTCACTGCATCGTAACAATTACCAAGAAGATGGAGAACAAGCTTAGGCTAAAGATAGAACAATATATTTAATATGAATAAAAGATATAAGGTAATATTCAGTAAGGACCACGCCTGCATGGCCGAGCCATGCCATCCGATCAACTCTAATTCATTCAATCCATTCTCCCCGCCTTCTCCATTGTTAGGTATTTCCCTGCGTTAAATATTGAACATCTATTTTCCGAGTAGTCTCGTGTTCAGCTTTGAGGATTGTGTGGTTATGGTCTAATGCCACTACAACAATCCTTGTCGGAATACCGCAAAACAGCAACAAAACTAGTAACTGATGTGAAATTAATGTTACTCGTAAGCTCCTTCTGGGATAACAACCAAAATTTAGTTCACTTGAGTAACACAGATTCCTCTACACGGTTGGAAACAATGTTGTGACGCGAAATCTAGATCCGGTTGTGTTATTGAGCAACAATCGGGTCGAGAAATATCAATTAGTGTAGGATGGCTTAAGGAGATGTTGTGGTGGTATTGGTTCCTAACCAAACGGTCTTTGAAACCGAGAGTATAACTCCTAAAAATATTTCTATTCAAGACGTAACACTTAAAAATGATCAGCAATGGTGAAGGCGGCAACAAGGGGTCAAAATGCTGTGGCTCGGCCACTGGGCGTGGTCGCTCTCTAACCTACTGTTTTTTGCATTGTATATACTGCTCTATACCCAGGTCAAATGCGTTCTTCAGAAGTGCTAGACGTCATACTACTGATTGTCACTATAGGATGAACCAATGTAGAGTATGATGTGACTTTCACACTTTATCTTATAGATTAGGTGGTCATATCATGAAAAAACCATAATTTTGGAGTAAGATCTACTATTAGAGTAGTATTAATACCGAGCTAGATCATCATTCTATTTTAGTACAACATGGACATAGTTCATCCAAAGTAATTACTTGTTTATTTTGATGCATAGTCTACATTCACTACTGTTGAATATAATGATGTGATTACCTAACCTACTTAACGCCATGTCGAAACTGCATCATTGTTGTTTGTCTGGCCTGAGCTGCATTAATGTGATGGTCAGATAATTACTCTCCTACCGTAAACGAATGGAATCTCACTAGTGAGTAAATTTTGTAGTCTAATGTTAATAACGAGATTTCATGTAGATAGATTGTGACATTAAAACCACAAGCACCGCAATCGTGTCACAAACCGACATATATACACCAGTTACCCTTGACTAAGACAAATGTGGGTAAACCATTCAACGCCTAAAAATCAGTGTTCTTAGGCATACATGAGTTCAACTTAGTGGATAATATGACTAGGATTAAGTGGTAGTTTATTGATCCTATGATGTTTTTGGTCAGTTTTGTAGCTAGACGTCTCGCCTAATTTTAACAAATTGCTAAACCAGCATTTCCCACTCTTTTCGTATATATTCGGAACACTTCAAGGTACTTGCGGTAGGTTTGTTACACAATGCTTGGAACAATAGAAGCTCGCGGTCTTAATTTATACACACAAATTTAGTGGCAGGATCTTAACTGCCTTACTGAGTGTGCCGTACTTAAAGTGCGAAAATATCGTATGTCCGCTTTCAGACAGGAAGGATAATGATGTTCTGGAACATATATGTGGGCAAGCAACGAACTTAATTTGAATACTCGAATTGAATCCAAAAGGAGGATGTCTTAAATAGTTAGACATCCAGTCTTCGAAATATAGGTAATTCAGGATCTGTGTACGTTAATAGATAAAGCTGAAGTATACGGCTGAACTAGTAACGAACGTATAAACTCTGTTTAACTTTTTAATCCCAGAGTAAAATTTACTTTCTCTCAATCTATAGAATGCCCCAGTAAGATCTCAAAGGCCACAGTACCAGGAACTCTCCGTCATCCAATTCACTTAAATGGTCCTCCTCAGAGAGTACGATATCAATTATTAATCAGTTATTGTTGCAACTTTATATTGTGGGAAAGCTGGTCTAACTCTTGTCGATCAGTTAGGTCTCCACGTTCAAGGATATCTTTCTTTGAAGTGTCGTGGAAACCCCAAAAATTTATAGTAATCGCGCAGTATTGACTTCGCTTCCGTAAGGATTTTGGTAATTTATTTACGTCTACGACCTCTTTACTCTGTCCTACCGCAGATTAAGAGGTGATCTGATTTTGATGTATGAGATATTAAGAGACGATTTTGGACCCAATGTGTTCTCTCTTTTCGTTCACACTAGATCTGAACATCTCAGATGACATAGCAGGCGAGTAGGGAGGCCAAGAACGGACAAAAGCCCGTGGCATATAGGCTTTTAAACCAAGTCATCACCAGTTACTCGAAGTCGTGGTGTCCGCATACGTGATCGAGGCTGCACACGCCAACGTTTTTAAAAAATCTGGGTAAACTTAAAGATCATAATTGTCAGAACTGAAGCTGATACATTATTATGGACAAATTATTAGGGACGAATTCCCATAGTAACTTGCATTCATCTCCCCTATTTCTGATTATTTCACATGCCCAAACTCTTACATGAATGGATCAGTGGAATAGTATTTATAGATATGGAAGCCAGTTAAGTAAAACATCTTCGTTTTCGTTTATGGCTCTTTGAATCATTTGACTTAGTCGCGGAAAGTGGTTTATTTAATTTCAAGGTCACGATGCCTCACTCGACTCTTACTGATTGTGACAAATACGAAGACGGTGATTTATGTACGGAAAAAAAGCATCTTTGGTTTGTTTGACTTCTTAAAGTCCTAGTAGTGTACAGGTCCAGTCTACTCGAAGAGGTTACACACAAGGCTGCAGTGACATTGTCTCCCTCCAAAACTCTTGTTGTTTTGGGGGATGATGAGTGTGGGAAAACTACTCTAATAGCACGACTGCAGGGTACAGAAGATCCAAAGAAAGGTTTTGGACTTGAGTACACTCTTTTGGATATCAAGGATGAAGACAGAGATGGTATAGATTGGTTTAATTCTGATTTTTTTGCATCGCCCAGATCAAACGAAACTGAATGTGTGGATTTTGGATGGCAACACTATTCACAGTCATCTTTTAAAGTTTGCAATCAATGAAGATTCGTTCGGAGATTGCTTCATCATGATATGTGTGAGCATGATGGAACCATGGCATATTATTAGCAGTTTAAATAAATGGGTTGGTATCTTAAGAGAACATATTGGTAATCTCAAAGTTCCAAATAAGAAGCTTCAAGAATACAAGAAAAATAGTTAGTTTTCCCTATTCTCTAAAAGTAATCATTTTTGGAGGACAGACTGGCAAGCGTTTTGCTCTGTCAGCATTTTTGTCTGGTACCCCGATTATTTTATTTCGAGCAAAATTATAGTAGTCCAAGGGAGCCTTTTCAACAACTGCTGCTTGTTCTTAACAGTTTCTACGATAAATACAAAGTGGGTAGTTAGTGGGCACTAAAAATTAATTTAGTTATTTGGTCCTTAGTAAATAAAAAGACTCTAATGTCTTCTTACGTTTCACATTAAAAACTACAAAATGTAGGGTTCGAAAGGTTTGTCAATGTATTAGCCTTATACTTCATAAAAGTACTGACTTTTCTGTCGTTAAAAGCTTTGCTTGAGTGTTAGAGAACTAAATGACTTTCAGGAGATTCACTAATTGGTTTTTTTGAAAACAAACATTCAAAGTATATTCTGGTACTCCTGCTTGCATAAGGTAATTATTCACTAATTTCCCATTTAGTACGGTAGATGCTTGAGGTCAATTGAAACCGCTCAACGTGCTCAGTGTTTGTTAACGTGCCACTATTACTGCTAATTCATTTTGTAGGGGGACTTAAAAGCTCAGTAAAACAAGTACCTATTAAAATAAAAGGTAGATTACAACTCCAACCATAGATGTGCTGTATGAGTAACTGGGAAGTAGTTTATACATATATAATAGCATCTGATTTATGTATTCATAAAACAGTACTGTTTGTGTGCGTTAAAATAAGTAATTTGTCCCCCCCTTCGACACTTTTTAAATAGTTGGACATCTGGCTCATTTCTAGGTTCTGCATAGATAAGCTTTATATTCATTTTACTCTTATTATTCATATTTTTCGTAAATATTTAGTTACTTCAGATTTCCTTTTACTTAGTAAAAATTAAAAAAGCTTTATTATCAACTTTATTTCTTCCTCACATAGTTTTGCGCCAATTCTGTAGTTATCTAGAACCTGATGTACTAGCGAACACTGCTCATGTCGCGCCCATATGTATCAGCTCATCTGGCAATCATCAACCTAATGGACTTGTTTCACCGAAAAAGTTATCGGGAATACACCCTGCAACAGCTGCTCTTCTCTCAAGCACATTAAACTCACTATCCGAAACTGCGTCTCAGCCACCATCTGTTATAAATGTTGAACAAGCAAACATTTCTGTGGAGACAAACACTGATGAAAATGCTCTAATCAACAATTTGGGGATTCCAATAGTTGTAGTGATGACGAAGGTACGTAAAAACTATACTGACGTAAACTGACAGACAGCCAACAGAGCAATTATCTTGAGTTTATCAATCTTTAATTTATGTCTTGTAGGATAGCTTAATTCATGTAGCGTGTACTACCAACAATGTATTTATTTCATATTACTCATCTAAATCCTTTAACTTCCTTAAGATTAAGTGGTCAATAAGTCTACAGTAGTGTCATTTAAAAATTACTCGTAATTTACCTCTTTGTAAATTTCACTAATTGTTTTATTAGCCTTGTATGCAAAAGCTGATTTTCCAGCTTTCTACAACAAAACCGTAATCGATATGTATTCTTATTCTGCCAGTCATTTGTGTCGCGGGCAATGTATCTATCTGTTCGTAAAACGGCTAGTATACTTTACAAAAGTTCTCGTATTATACTACGTTGATAATCTTCAGGTGATTGTTTGATATATTATATTTGTTACTGTCCACCAAGTGTTTTGAACATTTTGTTCATTTTTAAGGCTGATTCTATGGGGGCTCTGGAAAAAGAAAATCAGTTCACAGAAGAACACTTTGACTTCATTCAAATGCATGTTCGACGTTTTTGTTTGTCCTGTAAGTACTGTAGTTATTTTTGTTGGTCCTGTAGACCTAGTTAAATTGGTGCTTCTTTATTGCTCGCTTTTCGTGTAGATATCTTAATGTCATTAATTATTAAACTATATTATTTTGATGACATTTGGTGGTAGGACCACCAATGTTCATTCTTTGATGGAATTTATTGGCGAGTTAACACCGAAATACTGTCGTACGTATGCACTCTAATAACGTATTGTTCTATTAACCTTTCCATTACATACTACCGGGAAGTGTCGTTTGTCGTACCAAAAAATTGTTGCTACCACCAAACGTGTTCATTTTCTCATTCTGACGGTCTAGTAAGGTTAGTTTTCATTACTTACTAGTTCATTCGTGGGATTATTATTGTCCAACTGAGTTGTTTTCCACGGTAGATCAGTGGGAACTAAGGCTTTCCCAACCAATAAACAGCATCTATAACCTTGATGTCCGACCGTTGCTGCCACCTTGACGTGGTGGTCGGGCTTGCCTATCGTGATGAATTAATCGGACCATACTGGCTGAAACATTCGTCTCTCAAGGTCCGAGGGCGAAGTCGTACTACTGACTGTACAGACTTGTGACGACAGTAAGGTGTTTCCATCAGACAACCAGCATAACAGCGATGCTGCCTTCTCACAAAGAAAGGATGGGGTTAGAAAGGGTCAACCCTAAAAATACACTCCGCCTTATCTCACGAATTTCCGTCTCCGGCGATAAGGTCTCAACACGTACGGAGTTAACACAAAAATTACCCAGGAAAATGTCTTGTGTGACCGACCTCAAACAGTCGTCCCTTGGGCACTGCGGTCACGCTCTCAGATCACTAAGACCACCTCTAACCCAATTTCCTTATCAGGTACCTCTAGAAGAACCCTTCTACGCTGTGGACAACTGGAAATTAACAACCACCCACATACCTCTAACAGCACCATTTGTTTTCTTAGGATTCTAAAGCCCATGGACTCCATTGGTTTGGAATAAGGGTTTTCCAACTCCCCTAGGTGGATCATCCATGACCACCAACCTGGTTAAAGCGCCGGACATTCGCTCTTCGTCCTCTCAATTTTGTAAACAACACCCCGTCACGAGAAGACAGTGAGTAGGACTTCTCTGACAGAGGCTGTATACGCCTGGCCATATGAGAGTATTTCGAGAGGGAGAGCGGACCCTCCCAACCCTCGGCCGTACCAAGGCATTTGGGGGCCCAGCGAACAAATAATGTTGGTCGGCTTCTGAAACTGTGCTTAGACAATCGTTTATTTCTAATAAGCACTAATTTTAAGCATAAGGAGAGACATCGACTAATATGGCAACCCCTTGCACCAAACTTACGATGGACTCAAATAGACCATAATTCCCTCAGTCATCGTTGGAGAGGCTCCGTAGAAGACTACCACTGGTTCTGGAATACATGTTTAGACTCTCATCATGCTCTAATACGAGCACGTATTTACTTGCGCCTCACTGGACGCAGAAGAACCACATTAAAAAGACCCAGTAGAGTTGAACTCAACGATGAGAAAACCAAAGGTAAATTCGAGGAACAACTGAAGCCACACTTAGGCGATTTTGAAAACGAGGCTGACCCAGATGTTGTTGGGAAAGATATACGAACAGCTGTAGAAACAGCAACAACATCTATTAGTGATTTGCACTAAAGGGCCACGAAAAACCAATGGATGTCTGTGACCTCTATTGCACTGATAAACTCTTGTAGACTTTTAGTGACCCGTGATCTGACTCCAATTTGATCGTAATGATTGGTTGCTATCGTCTATCCTCGTATGCCCCCAAATGCACTGGTACGGCCGAGAGTGGGGAGAGTACGCTCTCCCTCTCGAAATGCTCTCACATGGCCATGCGTATATAGCCTCTGCCAGGGAAGTCCTACTCACTGCCTTCTCGTGGCGGTGGTGTTGTTTACGAAAATGAAAGGACGAAAAGCGAATATCCGGTGCTTTAACCGGACCCCAAATCAATGGTGCACATGGGCTCCAGTATCCTGAAGGAACAAATGGCGTATGAACCAACTGTTGGTCACCGGCTACCATGGGACTGCATCTCCTCACGATGCTCCACTGCCTTGTGGGTCAGACGTCCAGGTCGAAGGCTCGGGGTGTGGCCCCCTAAGAAAACCACCTGCTTCGGTTTGGGCACGCGGGCAGTATCACAGCCCTCACACAAATCAATTGAGATTCGTGTGGAGTATATGTATTTGTTGCCTCCCTGTACCTATACTTATGTGTTAAAATAAATAAATAAATAAAAATCTATCCTCGTATATAATCATTGACTTAAATCGCGTTAGTTAATAACGGAATTAAATAAGTCAAATAACGAGAATGGAGTTTTGAATGCATATATTTTGTATAATTGTTGATTAGACAAACGAACGGAGGAACGATGGGAAGATTAGAAAGCGCAGCTAAATTGGCGCGCGGTGGAGATGGCTGGTAAGCCAATTCTCCTTTTAACAAAGAGTTAATCAATATTTATAAGCCCACAAAAATAAATTAGACATGTGATGAGTAACGGGATAAGAAGTGTACATACGCCTACGCGCTCATACAAAGACAGTCAAGATATTGATAAGCGAATAATTAACAAGGTCAGAATGTGATTCAAATAGAATGAATAGAATGGGCTGTCCGAAAGTTGGAATAATAAGGTATTTGGGCTTAACATAATGACAGACACTACAGACTCATCCCATCATACTCCGAACACGATGACTTTATGTCTGCGAAACGTGGCCATTAAGAGTAGAAGATACTCGTGAGTTACTAGTATTTGACCACAGATGTCTTAGAAATACTGCTCGCAGCTGCTAGGATCACCGGGTAAGTAATAGTGAGGTTAGACGCATAATATTAGGGAACGATGGTAAATCAATTGATGAGGTTGTAAATCTTCATCGACTGAGATGGTTGGGCCACATGTTACGTATGCCTGAATACTGACTAGTGTTGGGGATGGTTGGAAATAAGTTAGGGGCAGCCAAACCAAAACATGGCATCAGTCCTTGAAGTCACTAACTTCTGGTCTGAGCCATGTCGGAAGATGCAGACTACTTGTTTGTGGTCCGCGCGACTATCGTATCCAATGGTTGGAGACTCTTGGTGACATGGCTGAGAATCGTTCATAATGGCATGATTGCATACATTATTTGTCTTCCCTCAAACTGTGAGCTTAAAATTACTTTATACTGTTTTTTCTACGAACCAGTTCTTTCTTCCTGTATCATATTCTTAGATGAAATCTTTTTTTGATATATATTACTACCGCTGACGTAACTGCTTTCACGAATTCGGTATTCATCTAGTTGTTCTACTGAATTATGGCAACTTGGATCAATGCATATACGTGCCTGGTCCTACGTTGTAGCTGACTGACTGATGTCCTCACAACGAACAAAGGGTTATGGAAAGCTCTATCTCAGACAGTACATTTCATATTACTGTACGAACTTCCAATACTATGATATAACTCGTAAATTATGAAGTAAAAGCATCAAAGATACTTTGAAAAAATGATGTGCATAACTGGTTTCATGCAGTTGTTTCTTTGGATATGCGTTCATGCTCATGTCAGCAAATCCTATTCTACTGACCCCATTTTTTTCAAAGTTGGTGAGTGGAAAATGGTGACCACCTGCGTTTCGTTGACAGCATTCGTAGACTAACAGTAGAAAAATGGAACTTTTGCTTAGATACCTAGAAAAAACCATGACATCTTTGATAAACCAACTGAAAAAAGATTCATTATGTTCACAAATTGTTGTCATGCACTTCCCAAAGAACACATACATTAAATGTCAAAAACAAAATATTCAGCTTAAAATATCTGGGCTTGATACATGCAATATATTATAAACCACTAATAATCATTTGACAGTTATAATAATCAAGCCATAGTTGTAGACCAATAACAAATAATCTCCACTCAATTTGTTGTTTCGGGTGATTTGGTGTATGTCAGAACTAAAAAAAACAAGAGGGAATAACGAAGCAATAATAGCAACACGCTGTCATAGAATATGTCCAACCAATAAATATAAACATTTCTCAGTTATTCCCGTTGATAGCTTACAGTGTGAAAACCAGATAGGTTCAATGCATTAAACCGGACCCCTGGTATTATTCATCTAAGGATGCCTAGAACAACAGAAAAGAAGTAAACTGTTTGAAATGGTATTAGAACTCAAGGTCTAATAGAAGATAAAGAATGATTATTCTACGCCACTGTTGCCGAGTTTAAACCATATCACCTGAGGTTTTCAATCATTGACTCCAACAAAGTAGAGGTGGATAACTTTAATTCTTTAAAACACTGTTGTTTTTCACTGTAATCATGTTTCTAATCCGGTGACATGATATTGTTTATCTGCATGTTTTTGAAATCTTTATAAATCACAGTCTTGTGCATTTGTGTATGTTTAAATGATCTGCTAAGTATTCACTTGTGAAACTAGTTCAATTTTATTTTATTAAATGTAAAGAAGATAACAGTCTCTAAATTTAGCTCACATCAGACAATAAAGGAAGACAAAGTCTGAATAATCCAATAATATTGAGTAGACTTGAGTAGATTTAAACAGAAGGATTTTTGTAATAGTTAAACTATAAAAATGTGAATGTCACTTTTCGTTGTTTGCAGAGTTTGTTATAACCATATTATATATCCTAACACCTCTAAATAATTTCAGTGACTGCAAATTGCCTTGATATAGGAATTGTTTGTCATTTTAAAATAATTGCTTTTCCTGCACATATAAGTTAGAATTACTTCCTAGTTAATGACTTCATAGTTTCTTTCTGTTTCTTATTTCAAATACATAATGTTTTGTAATATTCACTAACTTTTTACCACTTCAAATGATTATCAATTTTTATATTCATTTAGATGGAGCGGCACTGTTTTATGTATCAGTCAAGGAGGACAAGAATTGTGACTTACTAAATCGTTATCTACAAAGTCGTATCTACGGTTTTCCGTTCAGTCAAACTGCGTATGTTGTCGAAAGAGACTGTATTTTCGTGTAAGTCTTCAATTTACCTAGGGAAAATAATTAACTTATAGTCCAGCTGGATGGGATAACCCAAAGAAAATTGGAATTCTTGAGGAGAACCTTACTCAAGTTCAACCGCATAGTCTGTATTCTGACGTAGTTCCTCCACCACCGTCGAAAAAAGCCGCAGTTCGCGAACCGGAACTATTTGCTCAAGATGACCAAGTGGGTTGTATAATATGTTCGTAATGTTGCAAGTTTAAGGGAAATCAATAACTGAGATTTTGTCTAAAGAATACTGCATTCTTGCAAACCATCAGCAATGTTAATATTTGTTCTTTAAAACTATCATTAGATAGTAATGTTTACGATAAATGTAACCAGGAGTGCTAAATAATGTTCATCTGGAAGCTACTGTCCCAAGCTCTATGCTGATTATGAATGAAGTTGGTAATCAATCACGAAAATATAACTCTCAATGTTTCGAAAGTTAGCTAATTCTCAAGACACCTGTATGGTTTGGGTTTGTGGAACCAAAGTTCGTGGTTCATAAATGTAACTATGATTTAGGTTCGTTTAAGGGCTTTTAAGTTCCAGGAGATAATGACTTCGTAGATTAATACATTTTCTTGAAGTCTCATATTCATCGTGAATTTGCCGTATTTGACGTGCAATTTTAATTATCTATTTAATTGAACATTTTCTCAATCAGCATGGGCATAATCATGAAAACAAAAGTATTTTCCTCTTTAAAAGTATTTCTAATTTATGTATTTTCGGGAACTGTTCTGTGGGTGGTTTTTAATCCTGACCTTCATAATTTCTAAATGGTATCCATTAATACCTACTACTCAGTCAAATTTCAGTCTCATAGAGATATGTTATAAGTCTGTGTGAATTTGCTAACTTTTAGAAAATAACGAGTACTAAAGATGGATATCATGGTTCTGGTTCGCAACCTGTCCTATTAGACTCATCCATTTTCTTAAGTTAGTCCCATCAGCTCTAGTGAATTAAAATCACAAAAACAATACAAAACTCACCTAATTTTTGCTAAATTGTATCACCTATGGCACATCATAGTTTTAGTGACCGCCACCAAAGGATTGATGTTAGCAAGCTGGCTGCAACTTCTGTTGCTAGTAAGTACCGAACCGAGCTAGCTTCTAGGCTAGCTACCATTCCACCGAAAAGTATAGATGAGCATTGGTTGCAATTGCATGGCGCCATGAAAATGGCGGGTCAAGTCTGTTGTGGGTTCGCGAAACGTCCCGCTTACAAGCACTGGGTTTCTTCTGGTTCCTTACAACTGATTGAAGCCCGTCGGTCTACTCCGGGTGACCGTGAGTTTGACCACAGACGAAGGATGTTACGTAATGAAATCGAGCAAAGCTTGCGTAAGGACCGAGAAGCCTGGTGGTCGGAGCGTGCTAACGAGCTGGAAGCAGCAGCTGCATCTGGTAATTACCGGAAGCTCTTCCAACTCATCCGAGCCACTGGCAGCAAGAAGTTTGGTGTGAGCGAAACAATCTGCGAGGACGACGGAACGCCAATCACTAACATCCATCGACGTCTTGAACGATGGGCGAAATTCTTCGAAGGGCAGTTCAACTGGCCTGCTGCTCCGGCAACATCGGTCAGACTGTCCTGCCCTCCATGACCGGTGACGACTGATCCACCAAATGAGGCGGAAGTCCGCAAGGAACTCCAACTCTTGAAACGTTACAAATCACCGGGCCCAGATGACTTACCTCCGGCTCTTTTTAAAGATGGTGGTGACTTTCTCACTAAGGGACTGACGACGTTGTTTACAAAGATCTGGGAACTAGAGAGTGTACCAACGTCATGGAATGAGTCGATAGTTGTCCCTATCTTTAAGAAGGGTTCACGTTGTTCCTGTAACAACTATCGGGGATAAGTCTGCTTCCGATTTCATCCAAGCTATTGGCTTCCGTCATACTTCGTAGGTTGTTCAGAACCCGAGAAAGATTGACTCGCGAGGATCAGGCTGGGTTTCGTTCCGGTCGACAATGTATTGATCATATCTTCACCCTCCGCCAAATGTTAGAACACCGCCATACTTATCAAAGGCCAACAATCGTAGTGTTTCTTGATATCAGGGCTGCCTTCGATTCGTTGGACAGAACTGTTCTCTGGGATTGTCTATTGAAGAGGGGTGTGCCTGAGAAGTTTGTTAACATCCTAAAAGCCCTATACACAAACACCTCAGGCAGAGTGAGGGCATACAACCACCTTTCTCCATTATTCCATTCGAGCAGTGGGGTTAGGCAGGGTTGCCCAATCTCACCATTCCTCTTCAACTTTGCCATCGATGACATTCTGGAAACAGCCCTGATCGATGTAAGTAGTGGCGGTGTGGATCTGTTGCCTGGAGAAAGACTTCTCGACCTTGAGTATGCGGATGATATTGTCTTACTGTGCGAGAGTGCCCAAGCCATGCAATCCGCAGTTAATCAGTTGGCAATCAGTGTCCGTAGGTATGGTATGTGCTTCGCACCTTCGAAGTGCAAAGTACTTCTACAAGACTGGCAGGATTCTAATCCTGTACTCACTCTGGATTGTTGAGCAGATAGAACTCGTCGAGAAGTTTGTGTATCTGGTTAGCTGCATAAGTGCTGGTGGTGGCGTGAGTGATGAGAACAATGCACGTATAGTGAAAGTCAGAGCGGCTTATGTCAATCTGGGTCATCTTTGGCGCCCTCGTGATGTTAGTCTGGCTGTAAAAGGTCGGATCTACAACGCGACGGTGAGAGCAGTTTTGCTCTATGCTTGTGAAACCTGGCCTCTCCGAGTTGAGGATGTTAGACGACTCTCTGTGTTCGATCGTCGCTGTCTCTGAAGGATTGCTGGCATCCAGTGGCAACACCATGTTAGTAATGAAGAGATTCGGCATCGTGTGTTCGGTCACAGAGACGATAATGAAATTGGTGTCACCATCTTGAAACACCGACTTCGGTGGCTTGGACATGTTCTACGAATGTCGTCCCAGAGAATTCCTCGTCGTGCATTATTTGCCGACTCTGGGACTGGTTGGAAAAAGCGGAGGTGGTCAGTATATGACATGGTGTCGTGGTATGAAAGAAAGCTGCAAAGGGCTAGCTTCTGTTGGTCCTTCACGACTCCCTGGTTGGGGTCCGAGAGACGGTGTAACACAGTGTTAGAGACGTTATCAGATATGGCTCAGAATAGAAGCCAGTGGCGATCGTGCTGTAACCTTCTTTTACTTTCTTCATAAAAAGTGGTTGTATCTTCCTTAACTGAAAGATCTCTTCTGATTGTACCTTTCCGTTTCCCCCACCATTGTTCTCTCTCTCTTCCTTTTTTTTATAATTCCCCACGTCCATTACTTTTTTTTCCTCTTTTTTTTCTCTTTTCTCCTTCTCTTCAAATTATCATTGTTTTGTGTGGCGCATATATATTTGGTGCCCCCCTGTACCAATATTTATGTGTTCAAATAAATAATAATAAATAAATAATACCTATGGCACAGATGCTATGTCTGTCAACAGACATGTAGTAAACCAGAGAGACCGGTCAATGACAAAGAAAGCAAGACAATCACTCAGATTCAAGAGCAGAAGAAGGGATGGGTGGGACATTTTGAGAAACTCTTGAATAGACCAGCTCCACTGAACACTCCTGAAAGTCGAAGCAGCGCACACAGATCTTCTTATAGATGTCACTTCACCAGCGATCGAATAAATCAGGATAGCCACCAGACAAATCAGGAGTGGGAAAGCAACACGACCTAACATTATACCAGTCGAAGCACTGAAGTCAGATATAGGAGTAACTGCAAAGATGCTCCTCGTTCTATTCGGGAAGATTTGGGAGGAAGAACAAGTGCCACCTACAGACTGGAAAGAACGGCACCTCATCAAGATATCAAAGAAAGGATATCTGAGCAAGTGTGAGAACTACAGAGGCATCACATTACTGTCAGTACCAGTAAAAGTTTCAACAGAGTTTTGTTGAACTGGATGAAAGACTCAGTAGACGCCCAGCCTCTAGACCAACAGACCATATTCCCTAAGGATCGATCGTGCACATACCAAATCGCGATATTACGGATCATCAGTGAAGAACCAGTTAAGTGGAACTCGACTCTATACATCAACTTCATTGACTATGAGAAGGCGTTTGACAGTATGGATAGGAGGACTTTATAGAAACGTCTTCGACACTATTAGTGATCCAGAATACATAGGAGGGACTAAACTGCAAAGTCGTTCATGGAGGACCGTTGACAGATGCATTGGAAGTGAGGACCGGAGTCAGACGAGGTTTCTTACTCTGCTCCTCCCTCTTTCTCCTGGAGGTTGGCTGGATTATGAAGACCTCGTTAGCTGAAAGGGAGCATGGAATACAATGGACAGCTCGGAATCAATTAGACGATTTGGACTTCTCAGATGATTTGGGCCTCCTTCAAAGATGCAATAAAACACATGTTTCAGTAATGCTAGCATAATATCTGCCATATTTAAGCAGGTTTTATGGAATGGAGAAGAATATTGAGATACCTTTAAGTAACTTAATATTTAGGTTCCCTGGAGATAACTTGGAATGATCCTTTAAATGGAGGGCTATATGCTGCATTTATTTCGTTACACCATATCCAGACGTGCTTGCATTTACTTAGATCCTTAAGTACATATGTCGCTCGCGATTGTTCACGAGTAGTTATTGGTTTAAGTTTGTATATATGGTCCCGTAGTTGGTCTACGTAACCTTCTAAATCATACTGGCGTAAGTAAGTAATTGTTTCATTTCAGCAGGTTACTTAATGTGACAATGCAAATCTGACCAGTTGTCCAAGTATTTTGTTTATCATTAGGGTTCGAGGCTGTTAATATGACGAGTTACTATATTTGGTTTCCTCAGCTGCTTTCAATTGACTGCAACATTATATCAGTCGTTTTAACAGTCAAATCGTGTACGTAGTCAAAATATTTAGTTTTAATTGTCTTCGTTTTGAGTTTGGATGCATTTAATAAAACTACCGTACACTTTTCACTTTGGGCACTGAATATTTTTAGCAATAATTTTTACATGGCTTTTATAATTATCTAGTGTTTTTTCATATATAGTCATTTCTTACTCGCCTCTCGGTCAGTATGCAAAGAGATAATGCTCAAGCAAATATTTCAAATAATACAATATCTGGTAATTCGGATTCTGTCATAGATCAGCTTGGAACAACTACTGCCTTGATGAATGCATCTTCCAATGTTGGAAGTAGACCAGTTTCTGGATCTCCTCGCACACCTGGTTCTGCTGGTAGATCAAAGGTATTCGACCAAATATTTTTGTCATTGTATTTAATTTATTTGGTAAACAATATCTATTATTCCAATTTTCACGACTACTTTTAATTTGCAAAGGATTATTTTCTCACAGTTATATAATATACCCTTGTGGGCCAGGGTAATTTTACATCGGTTTTCAGGAGAACCAGACACCGTCCAGACTTTCACGTGACAACCCAAACAGTACAGCCCAAGCCCGTTTAACAGGGGAGCCGGACACCATATAGGCTATAACGCTACAATCTGAATAGTGCAGCTCAATCCTGTGGCGCAACCACACAGGTACCAAGCACCCTGGTGGACCAGGGACTCCGCCTGGAGTCCCTTTCGGGGGGCTACTGCCGGTCCAAAGCCCGGGTAAAGGAGGAGGGTTGGGCATGGGGTTAGCGTCCCCATCCCGTAGAAAATTAACTCGCTAAAAAACGCTAACCAGAAAAAATAACTGAAACCATTTAAACTGCCCTGGGAGTTAGAGGTAATATGACGCCTCATGGTGAAAGCCGAGTTCCTTCGGAAGCCGCGAGGCCGATGCCCCTTCTAACAACCAGAGCAACAATTTTTATAGGTACATGGAACGTCCGGACAATGTGGTAGACCGGGAAGACCAGTCAAATAACAACGGAAATGAGGAGATACAACTTGGCAGTGCTGGGAATCAGTGAAACCCATTGGATCCAAGCTGGACAACAAAGGTTAAATATGGGAGAGATGCTGCTATACTCCGGTCACGAAGAGGAAAATGCTCCACACACTCAGGGAGTTGCTCTAATGCTGTCCAGAATATCACGTAATGCACTTGTAGGATGGAAATCTCACGGATCCAGAATCATCAAAGCATCATTCAAAACAAAGAAGGAGGGGATCACAATGAACATTATCCAATGTTATGCACCCACCAATGATAGCAACGACGACGTTAAAGATCGATTCTATGAGAGGCTGCAATCAATCATAGAAAAGTGCCCAAGAAAGGACCTCACCATTCTGATGGGAGATCTAAACGCCAAAGTCGGAATGGACAACACCGGATATGAAGACATCATGGGACTACATGGACTGGGAGAGAGGAATGAAAACGGGGAAAGATTTGCAAATCTGTGTGCATTCAACAAATTGGTCATAGGCGGTACAATATTTCCACACAAATGTATACACAAAGCTACATGGATCTCACCGGACCACACCCCAGAGAACCAGATAGATCATATTTGCATCAATAAAAAGTTCCGAAGGACAATGGAAGATGTAAAAACCAGGAGAGCAGCGGACATAGCTTCAGATCACCACCTGGTTGTGGCCAAATTAAAACTGAAGCTAAAGAAGAACTGGACAACTGGACAAACAGCACCACAAAGGTTCAATACAGCCTTCCTTCGAGATACTGACAAACTCAATGAATTCAAGGTAGCTCTCAACAACAGTTTCCAAGCCTTACAGGACCTACTGAAGGAAGAAGAAACTACTATGGAGGATAGCTGGAAAGGCATCAAAGAAACATTAACTTCAACGTGTCAAGAGGTTCTGGGCCCCAAGAAGCATCATCACAAGGAATGGATCTCTATAGAAACACTGGACAGGATCAAAGAAAGGAAGAACAAGAAGACAGCAATTAACAAGAGTCGAACACGAGCAGAGAAAGTCCAAGCACAAGCCCAGTACATAGAAACAAACAAGGAAGTAAAGAAAAGCATTAAAGCCGACAAGCAGAAATACGTGGAAGAACTAGCAACGACAAAGAAGGTAGGTTAATCACTGAAATTCAACAACAGCGTAACAGATGGACAGAGTACTTCGAGGAACTCCTGAATAGGCCGGCACCAATGAATCCAACGGACATCGAAGCAGCACACACAGATCTTCCTATAGATGTCAATCCACCAACGACCGAAGAAATCAGAATGGCCATCAGACAAATCAAGAGCGGGAAAGCAGCAGGACCTGACAATATACCAGCTGAAGCGTTGAAGTCAGACATCGAAGTAACGACAAAAATGCTTCATCTTCTATTCAAGAAGATTTGGGATGAGGAACAAGTGCCGATGGATTGGAAAGAAGGACACCTCATCAAGATTCCAAAGAAAGGAGATCTGAGCAAGTGTGAAAACTACAGAGGCATTACACTACTGTCACTACCAGGTAAAGTCTTTAACAGAGTGTTACTGAATCGGATGAAAGACACAGTAGACGCTCAACTTCGAGATCAACAAGCTGGATTCCGTAAGGACCGGTCGTGCACAGACCAGATTGCGACACTACGGATCATCGTCGAACAATCAATTGAGTGGAACTCGTCACTCTACATCAACTTCATTGATTATGAGAAGGCATTTGACAGTGTAGATAGGAGAACGTTACGGAAACTTCTTCGACACTACGGAGTTCCTGAGCAGATTGTCAACATTATCCGGAACTCATACGATGGACTACAGTGCAAAGTAGTGCATGGAGGACAGCTGACTGACGCATTCCAAGTAAGGACCAGAGTCAGAAAAGGCTGTCTACTCTCTCCTTTCCTGTTTCTTCTGGTGATCGATTGGATTATGAAGACCTCGACATCTGAGAGAAACCACGGTATACGATGGACAGCTCAGAACCAATTAGACGATTTGGACTTCGCAGATGACCTGGCCCTCCTATCGCATACACACGAACAAATGCAAATAAAGACATCCAGCGTAGCAGCAGTCTCTGCATCAGTAGGCCTCAATATACATAAAGGGAAAACCAAGGTCCTCAAACACAACACGGAGAACAGCAGTCCAATCACTCTTGATGGCGAAACTCTGGAAGATGTAGAATCCTTCACATACCTGGGAAGCATCGTCGATAAACAAGGAGGTTCAGATGCAGACGTCAAGGCGAGGATTGTCAAAGCTAGAGCGGCATTCCTTCAACTGAAGAACATATGGAACTCAAAACAACTTTCAACCAACATCAAAGTCAGAATCTTCAATACGAACATTAAGGCAGTCAGTTCTACTGTACGGAGCTGAAACTTGGAGAACTACAACAACCACCATCAAGAAGGTACAGGTATTTATCAATAGCTGTCTACGCATGATACTCAACATCCATTGGCCGGATACCATCAGCAACAGCCTTTTGTGGGAGAGAACCAACCAGCTTCCAGCTGAAGAGAAAATTAGGAAAAGACGATGGAAATGGATAGGACATACATTGAGGAAATCATCAAACTGCATTACGAGACAAGCGCTAACTTGGAATCCTGAAGGGAAGCGGAAAAGAGGAAGGCCAAAGAACACATTACGTCGGGAAATAGAAGCGCATATGAAAGAGATGAATAAGAACTGGAAAGAGCTGGAAAGGATTGCCCAGGACAGGGTTTGATGGAGAATGCTGGTGAGCGGCCTATACTCCTTCACGAAGAGTAACAGGTGTAAGTAAGTAAGTAACTACGAAAGTTTATGCAGCATGAAAGTCAGTCAGCTACAACGTAGAACCAGGCACGTATATGCATTGATCCAAGTTGCCATAATTCAGTAGAACAACTAGATGAACACCGAATTCGTGAAAGCAGTTACGTCAGCGGTAGTAATATATATCAAAAAAAGATTTCATCTAAGAATATGATACAGGAAGAAAGAACTGGTTCGTAGAAAAAACAGTATAAAGTAATTTTAAGCTCACAGTTTGAGGGAAGACAAATAATGTATGCAATCATGCCATTATGAACGATTCTCAGCCATGTCACCAAGAGTCTCCAACCATTGGATACGATAGTCGCGCGGACCACAAACAAGTAGTCTGCATCTTCCGACATGGCTCAGACCAGAAGTTAGTGACTTCAAGGACTGATGCCATGTTTTGGTTTGGCTGCCCCTAACTTATTTCCAACCATCCCCAACACTAGTCAGTATTCAGGCATACGTAACATGTGGCCCAACCATCTCAGTCGATGAAGATTTACAACCTCATCAATTGATTTACCATCGTTCCCTAATATTATGCGTCTAACCTCACTATTACTTACCCGGTGATCCTAGCAGCTGCGAGCAGTATTTCTAAGACATCTGTGGTCAAATATTAGTAACTCACGAGTAACTTCTACTCTTAATGGCCACGTTTCGCAGACGTAAAGTAGAACAGAACGAAATGCTGAGGTGTATACTCGTACTTTTATGGATAGACGGATATCTTGCTTTCGTCATAAGTGACTTAGGTTGGTAAAAGCGAAACGAGCTTTCTGAATCCGTGCACGGATTTCGTCAGACGGTGATAAAAATGGTCCACATGAACTTACAAAACCTGGATCCAAAGTTTTCCATTTCTTTGGCGCTTAAGTTTTTCATTGTTATTTATTTTTATTTATTTATTTGAACACATAAATATTGGTACAGGGGGGCACCAAATATATATGCGCCACACAAAACAGTGATAATTAGAAGAGAAGGAGAAAAGAGAAGAAAAAAAAAAGTTATGAACGTGGGGAATTATAAAAAAAAGAAGAGAGAGAGAGAACAATGGTGGGGGAAACGGAAAGGTACAATCAGAACAGATCTTTCAGTTAAGGAAGAATACGACCACCTTTTTATGAAGAAAGTAAAAGAAGGTTACAGCAGGATCGCCACTGGCTTCTATTCTGAGCCATATCTGATAACGTCTCTAGCCACTGCGTTACACCATCTCTCGGACCCCAACCAGGGAGTCGTGAAGGACCAACAGAAGCTAGCCCTTTGCAGCTTTCTTTCATACCACGACACCATGTCATATACTGACCACCTCTCCGCTTTTTCCAACCAGTCCCAGAGTCGGCAAATAATGCACGACGAGGAATTCTCTGGGACGACATTCGTAGAACATGTCCAAGCCACCGAAGTCGGTGTTTCAAGATGGTGACACCAATTTCATTATCGTCTCTGTGACCGAACACTCGATGCCGAACCTCTGCATTACTGACATGGTGTTGCCACTGGATGCCAGCAATCCTTCGGAGACAACGATGATCGAACACAGAGAGTCGT